AAAGAGCAGTTGCCGTGTAGAGCAAGTGTTGATGCTAGCGCTCTAATTTCATGAGGATTAGATGCTCTTGGAGGGTCGAGTCCTGCAGCCTTGTAGGCACGTAGTATGACAGTTCTGATCCAAATGGAGATAGTAGTACGTGAGACTTCAGTCTGCGTAGCTGTTGATAGAGGAATAAATAATCTCTTGAATTTTGCCCTCCTCTGTTTGGATCGGTGGAGATATATTTTCAGTGCTCTTAATGGGCATAGTGATAGATCCATCGTATCATGAGGTCCAAGTATAGATGAGAGAGCTGGGACGTGGAATAATCTGTCTGGTTGACCTGGCAATTGGTTCTTGGCGATAAAATCCCAGCGTAGTCCCAGATGCATTATGTTATGAATATCATCAAAGCGTGTTCTCTCGTAATCCAATGCGTGAATCTCTGACATCCTGGCAGCCGTAGCTAGAGATAACAGGAACAAGGTTTTCTGAGTCAGAGATTCAAACGATGTAGATTCTAACGGTTCATAAGCCTCACTTGTGAGGTGTTGGAGCACTATATTCAGATCCCAAGCTGGCGCGTGAAACTTCCGTTTTGATCCTCCAATCGGAATGCTTTCGTAGCAAGGCGAGAGTAAACTCTGGGGTCTTGGTTAACTTGGCCCGTTCTCATAGTTATGACAGAGCTTATTGCTGCAAGATAAGTGGACAAAGTTGAGCCTTTAGATTCTTAGTCTGGACGTAGATAACATAAGTAGTCAGCCACTTGAGGATGAGTAGCATATCTAGCTGTAAATCCTTTCTTTGCAGCATAATTGACAAAACTGTGCCATTTGTCATCGTATAAGTTCTTGAGTTGAGTTACGAGGGCAAAGCGTGACTGCTTTTGCCGCCCTGGCTGAATAACCTCTCTTATTCAGACACGCCTTGATACAATCCATGCATTGAAGTTGGAATATTTCTGGTGTGCTTGTTTGGTGTGCGGATGTATTAACAGATTCGAGCACTCTGGAAGTTGCAGTAGTATTGGTTGTCCGCTGGAGTAGAGCGCGATTGAATGACTGATTTTGAGTAAGTTGGGAAACCACGTTGAGTCCTTCGCTGGCCAGTAGGGTGACTGCCATCGTTGAACTTTATCAAAATCTGAGATGTCTCTAATCTCATGAGCAGCTCATGAAGGTTCGTTTAACTGACTGTAATGATTTTGAGTAAGACTTGAATGGGACTATATCGACCTCGCTGGTTGGCGGGAACAAGGCATTTTGATTCTGTATAGCGCACTTGAGTCCTTCCATTAGATATGCTTATCCGATGTTTGAGCGTTAATGTAGGTGAGCAACCATGCTGGGTGACTGCCATCGCTGAACTTTATGTAAAATCGCCTGACTGCCGCGAACATCGTTGATGCCCTTGATGTAGGTAGTTGACCTCTCGCACCAATGCTTCCTGTACTTGACAGGGCATTGGTGCTGCAGGTCCTTCCATAAGTACTATCTGACGGTAAGTGCTGCAGCTCCTTCCATAAGTACTATCTGACGGTAAGTGCTGCAGGTCCTTCCATAAGTACTATCTGACAGTAAGTGCTACAGCAGAACCTTAGTTATGATTATCATTATTTAACATTTTGTAGCAAAACCTACAATTAAAATAACACAGAGGGTAAAATAAAAGAGTATTTTTCGAATTACAAATTACTGCATTAATTTATTTCCGTTATACTATTGGGGTGTGGTTAAACTAAATCACGAGTAGTTTTGGGGGGAAAGGGAGATTTGGGGGAGAGAAACGTGCACAGCTGACTGCTATTTATGGTAATCTTAATCCCTGCATATTATTATTGTATATGCATTGTATTATGCCTAGCAGAAACATATTAGATTAGGGGTGGATAAGGTAAATCTCAGTGTCTCTAGTAATCGTGGGTACCTGCAAAGTTGACATCTCTACTGATTAAGTTGTTTCTTTTGTTCGTCCCTACAAAGTGTTGTTTTTAAGGTACTCAAATTTGACCTATCTGATGTCATATATGGTAATTCAATGCTGCAAATGAGATACAGTGACATGCATCCACCAGACAAGCGAGTCGTACCACCCAATCACATAAGTCACCTCTCATGGCAAGCGTTGGCTACTGAAAAACAATTGTAACCTAGATCTTCACAAAGACTCTTTGCTGGCCCCCGACGGTTGTACACTAAGTTCTTAACTCTTATCTCGGTGGGTCATGTAAAGGCGTCATGATGTGGCGGGACAAAAAGAGTTATAATAAATGATTCCAAAGTCTGGAGATACAAAACCAACATGATTTATTTGCTGTGCATGAGCCAATCAATGGTTTCTGTACAGGGGTTGCACTGTCCTATAAAAAGCATATATCCCTGGCTGAAACCTCTTTGTGTTAAAGGCAGGAACATATGATCAGCGTGCACTTTCAGGGCATTATCAGGGCAAAAGCATAAGGTCCTGCAACAAGGCAGGCAGTTAAACATCTGCAGATGTTGCATGTTCCCTCATGTAGATCGCTGGTGTTTTCCATCATAATAAATACTCAGAACTGATAATAGTGATATATATCACTCACTCAAGTGTGCAAGTTGGCAGCGCCCTACAGATACATACAGCTGCCCTGTTTCATTCATCTCTTAAAACATTTGTGTTGAAGGTAGCCACATCAGGTATGCAGGAAGCATCACAATTTCTTTCTTTTTTTGTCATCCACAAAACCTTGTCTGCAGTTAACAACATACTGCACAAAAATAAAATGGTTGCACTACTTATACTATACAATAAAAAAAAACCCAACCAGTTGTCACTCAGGTGACATAATCCCCCACCGCAAATTATCAAATCAAACTTAAAAAGTAATGAAAGTGAAGGTTGTAGTTTAAGATGAAGTTAAATGTCAACAAAAGCATGACTAGTCAACCTGCACCTTCCAATATGATGCTTTGTGTCAAATATGAAGAAAATACAGTGAATCGTTTGTGAGATGTCATGCTGACAATGTGAACATGTAAATGATGTATGTTAACAAACTGAAATCTTCAAAGTGTCGCAGTGACCTTGAAAACTATGTGAAGGTCACCAAAATCAACTGGGCCCAGCGCCTTCCTTAGATGAAGCTTGGTGACAAATATGAAGGAAATCCAGTGAATGGTTCTTGAGATATCTCACTGACAAGCTTAACATGCAGGTTAACATGCTGAAATCTTCAAAGTGTTGCTGTGACCTTGAAAATTATGTGAAGGTCACCAAAATGAAGAAAATCCCGTGAACGGTTCTTGAGATATCGCACTGACAAAGTAATATGTGAAAGTCCCCTTGTGACCTTGAAATGAAGGTCAAGGCCACCAAACCTGACAAAGAATCTAGTCCACAGTTCTTAAGATATTCCAATTCGTACGTATGGATGGACATACAGATGGACAGAGCCTAACAGTAATACTGTATCCCCTGCCGCATGTGGGGGGATAAAAAGACATGCTATGTCTCCTTTCTGTTGTCTGATGGCCAGATCAGATAGTAATCAGGTTGAGTTGGATATGGCCAACAAACAGATTATAACTGTCTCTCTGGATCATGGAAGTATGAGCAACAGGGTTTGACTGGAGTTGGGGGTTTGATAGCTACATTCTGTAGTGTTAGATATAAATTAGTACTAAGAGTGTAGAACCTCAGAGCTGATCACACCAAATCAGTCAAGTCATGGGAAATTCATGTTACTGCAACCAAGCTTTAAAACACTCTCAGGTTCAACATACACATCGGCAAACAACGTGTGTAACAACATCGCTGCCATGATCACATCCTCTACAGTATAGAGTCACTATCATTAATGTATTATTTAAATTGTTGATATAATATACACTGTACCAAAGGTGATGTACCAAACACACGTTACCAGCATCCCAACATTGCGGGCAGGTAAGATTGCTTGGCGATTATTCCCCTCGAATTAGCAGTCTTCCACTTGTATAATCAACATTATTTAGCACACTGATAAACTTTGCTCAGCGAAAAAGCTCTCAGCGTAATGGACAATGGGCACACACATCTAAACCTGTTCAAGTTCAATGAAACGCCACCTAAATAGTGTGATTAAACACACCCTGCTTCATATAGTTAATGTAGCGGCAGTACACACCTGTGTAAAACATAACAACTGATATTAGTATCTCCTTTGTATTTAAACATAAATTGATAATTTCTGTTTACCGACTATAGCAGGGCCCCCGTTCCTCAAAGCGATCGTAACCGTAAGATGATCGTAACTCCCATATTTTAACATAGGCTTACGACAATCATAGCGCTACGATCGCTTTGAGGAACTGGGCCCAGGACAGTATGAGTTACCAGCATCATTCATTGCATGTTACCAACATCCAGACTTTGAGTTACCGACATCCTCGCGCGATATTAAAAATGCTTATTCTTGAACACATAGACATTAATAAGCAAATTCAGTACATTCAATGTATTCACACCATCAAAGTGTGCTAAATAATGTTGATTACCAGCACCACCTTAGGTACAGTGATATAGAGACCATTGGTGCTGTAGTATAAAGACTAGTGTTTGCTGTACAATAGAAACTATTGATGAGGTAACTCTTTCTTATCATTTGCATGACAATGGCGTTAGGAACTACACCGAAACATCGCATCTATTGCATTAAAGAAGTTGTCTATCCATAAATAGTGTTCCTCTTTATTGTTGAGGTATACGGAGACTATCTTCTATATAGAAACCATTTTTGTATACTGTAGAGACTATATTTATTGTTATATAGAAACTATTGATGACGTAATGCAGGCACATTAATTACAGTAAAGTGTACAGAGTAATAATAATTGAAATTACAGCCAATGGTTAAGTGTTGAAATCATCCGAACAATGCAAGTTTTACAACACAGAATACACAATCCCAGCTAACCATAAAGTATAGATATTAACAAAACTGCTATGAGGTGTACATCTCAGATTATCAGGTTGGTTGTTTAGTAATGTTCACTTACTCTTCTTGCCCTCTCCACCTCTCCACAAGGAAGCCTCTTATCGAAGTCAATACCGGTGAGTGGCGTGCCAAGAGGTGGCAGGAGAATGGATGCATCCATCATCAGGTACTCCACGTTCAAGGGACGGTTCTAGAAGATGTAATCTGACAGTTAGGGTCAAGAAACAACATTACCAGCTACATGCATCATAAGCAATATGATAGATGAGAGGTGTAACCTGGCAAGTATACTGAGTGATGTTTTGACATCATGATATCACTACAAGCTGTTTAACTGAGCTGCATGGGTTCTTCCAGACAATGACTTAACAATCAGTCTGCTAAATTGTATAATGCGCTATTATAATCTTTCACATCTTTCACATATGTTCAATAATGAATCAGTCTTCATACATGTTCCTTATATGTATACATTTATACTTGATGCTAGATGCCAGGCAGCATAGAGAAACACACCAAAACTTCTGTCAGTCTGTTATAGAACACCAAACTGGGCAATATTCCAGCAGGTGAGTAGCCTGTAAATAATCCACCAATCTAAACAAGGCAAACCAGTGCTTGATATCATGAGCAACCTCCCATGCAATCGGAGTACAATGGCCAGGAAACAACCCAGTTACCAAGTCGGACTCACACACATTTACACATCTCATACAGAAGATCATCTTTCTCCACACCTAAATTCTCACAGAGAATCTCGATCAGGGCTTTTAGAGTGGAATACGTGGTTTTATAGAAGTTTATGTATAGAGATAAACACTGATGCAAATTATCTTCCTGTTGACGACATATAAAACTGCTTCATACTTACCATCATATCCCTGTACTCATCCTCAAACATGTCTAAGAAAATTTCTTCACTCTGTAACAAAAATAATAATAATCATTATCATTTAGACAAAGATATACAGCCGTGTAACTTAAAAGAACAATGTTTCAGGCACTTTCCAGTCTTGGCTGATTCTATTCCATGATTTTCACCACTACTATAGCAACAAGTAACTAACGTCTAGAAGACACTGCACCAGAATTTAATAAGCACAAGGATAAAAGTCAGATTATTTTCAGCAATCATCACTGAACACTGTAATTCCTCCTTCATTCTGGTTGACTAATTCAGTAAAACTGTTCCTTAAGTTTTATTGTTTTTGAGGATTTAACATATCAAAAGAATAAAAATGAATAACACAAAAGTAACTTCGCAGCTCATATACGATTCTCCAAGTACCTTGTAGAAGTTCCTGAGCATCTGTGTGCTGCATTCCCTGGCGTTCTCTATACAGGCCAGATGGCGGTCCTGCAGGAAGGACTTGCCCTCCTGTATCACCAGCTGCTTCAGGAACTTGATGCTCAGCTGCAGTGTGGCTAGTCGAACCTTGCTGCCTGAGAGTACAGAAAGTTGTGAAACAATGGAAAACAGCCGAGGAATACCAGAAATAGTTCACTGGCTCTTGGAACAATATCTCACAATTTTCAGTTACATCAGTACACGTCAGTTTGTTGTGGGAAAGGCCTTAAGGGATGCCTGTGGAAGACCTTTCCCATTATATGAGGACAGGTTTAGTGCTGACACACCAGGGATCATGATCATAATCAAGTTGAGACTTGTGTTAGTGACAATCAACAGTGACATGTAACTATAAATATTGCATATAGTTTAATAATTTCCTGTCTATTCATATGCATTCAAAACTGCAGCATTTTATTGACATTTCTCTAAGGCAAACAAATGCTGCATCAGCCACTATGGCCTCAAGAGTTATCTCCCCTTAACATGCCTTAGCATTCACTATACATGTATATACCATGCCATATTTCTGATATAGTAAATATTCATACCTCTTTGGTATAAGGTAGATGGTAAGTATTTTCTATAATAACCAATATACCAATAATAATATGTTTCAATTAAATAAACCCATATTTAGAACGGAAAGCACTTACTTGCTTGACAGGCCAGCGTAATGATCCTGATAAGCCGTTCCACCAGGGCAATGTTGTAGTGGTCCTTTACCTGTAAACATGTCATCACACAATAACTTATTACAGTGACATGATACAAGACCTGGGTCATGTTACATTCTAACTCATCTATTTTAACATCGACTTGTCTTTGTGCCATGGTCACTGCCTTGGTCAAGCATTATGAATCACCATGAAGTACACTTGCCACCCATACAACATGTCTCCTGACAGATATACACATGACTGGAATCACTGAGTTGCTGTGTACTCATCTCCCTGTAACTCTACATCTAAGGGTTTGTTTGTGCATGATATATGTTCCATGTGGAGTACCCACCTCAGACCTCTCTGTGGGCATCAGGACACTGTCCAGCAGCTGTTGGGAGATACCTGCAACCCATACATGTAATACAGTGGTACTATTGTCACACAGTTGAACACTTGCCATACAGATAGAGGGGTACACTTGTCATACAGATAGAGGGGTACACTTGTCATACAGATAGAGGGGTACACTTGTCATACTTTGGAACACTTGTCACACAGTGGTGCACTATTTAGATAGTGGTACACTAGCAATACAGTGGTACATTTGTCCTACAGAAGTACACTTGTCCTACAGAAGTACACTTGTCATACAGTGGTACACTTGTGGTACACTTGTCCTAGAGAAGTACACTTGCCCTACAGAAGTACACTTGTCATACAGCGGTACACTTGTCATCAGTGGTACAGAAGTACACTTGTCATACAATGGTACACTTGTGGTACACTTGTCATACAGAGAAGTCATGGTACACTTGTCATACAGAAGTACACTTGTCATACAGTGGTACAGCACACTTGTCATACAGTGGTACACTTGTCATACACTTGTCATACAGAAGTACACTTGTCATACAATGGTACATTTGTCACACAGTGGTACATCTGTCATACAGTGGTACACTTGTCCTACAGAAGTACACTTGTCATACAGTGGTACACTTGTCCTAGAGAAGTACACTTGTCATACCGTGGTACACTTGTCCTACAGAAGTACACTTGTCATACAGTGGTACATTTGTTACACAGTTGTACATTTGTCATACAGTGGTACACTTGTCACACAGTGGTACTCTTGTCATACAGTGGAACACTTGTCATACAGTGGAACACTTGTCATATAGAAGAACACTTGTCATACAGTGGAACACTTGTCATATAGAAGTACACTTGTCATACAGTGGTACACTTGTCTTACAATGGTACACTTGTCATACTAGGGTACACTTCTCATACAGTGGTACATTTGTCCTACAGAAGTACACTTGTCCTAGAAAAGTACACTTGTCCTACAGAAGTACACTTGTCATACAGTGGTACACTTGTCATACAGAAGTACACTTGTCTTACAGTGGTACACTTGTCATACATTAGCGCACATGTCATACAGTGGTACACTTGTCATACGTTGATACACTTGTCATACAGTGGTACACTTGTCAGAAGTACACTTGTCATACAGTGGTACACTTGTTATACAGAAGTACACTTGTCCTACAATGATACACTTGTCATACAGTGGTACACTTGTTATACAGAAGTACACTTGTCCTACAGTGATACACTTGTCATACAATGACACTTGTCATAGACGCTTGTCATACAGTGGTACACTTGTCATACAGATACTGGAGTACACTTGTCATACAGTGGTACACTTGTCATACAGTGGTACACTTGTCATACAGAACACTTGTCATACAGAAGTACACTTGTCATTCAGTGGTACATTTGTCATACAGTGGTACACTTGTCCTACAGAAGTACACTTGTCATACAGTGGTACACTTGTCATACAGTGGTACACTTGTCATACAGTGGTACACTTGTCATGGTACAGTGGTACACTTGTCATAGAATGGTACACCTGTCATACAGTGGTACACTTGTCATACAGTGGAACACATGTCATACAATAGTACACTTTTCCTACAGAAGTACACTTGGCATACAGAAGGACGCTTGTCATACAGTGGTACACTTGCCATACAGATACTTGAGTACTTGTCATACAGTGGTATACACTTGTCATACAGTGGTACACTTGTCATACAGTACACTTGGTGGTACACTAGTACACTTGTCCTACAGTGGTACACTTGTCCTACAGAAGTACACTTGTCATTCAGTGGTACACTTTTCCTACAGAAGTACACTTGGCATACAGAAGGACACTTGTCATACAGTGGTACACTTGTTATACAGAGGTACACTTGTCATACAGTGGTACACTTGTCATACAGATGATACAGTACACTTGTCATACAGTGGTACACTTGTCCTACAGAAGTACACTTGTCATACAGTGGTACACTTGTCATACAGTGGTACACTTGTCATACAGAGGGACACTTGTCATACAGTGGTACACTTGTCATACAGTGGTACACTTGTCATACAATGGTACACTTGTCATACAATGGTTCACTTGACATACAGTGGTACACTTGTTACACAGTGGTACACTTGTCCTACAGCAGTACACTTGTCACACTAAATTACACTTGTCATACTATGTCCACTTGTCCTACAGGACGCTTGTCATACAGTGGTACACTTGTCATACAGATCCTGGAGTACACTTGTCATACAGTGGTACACTTGTCATTCAGATACTGGAGTACACATGTCATAAGATACTGGAGTACACATGTCATACAGGTACTGGAGTACACATGTCATACATATACTGGAGTACACTTGTCATACAGATACAGGAGTACACTTGTCATACAGTGGTACACTTGTCATACAGATCCTACACTTGTCATACAGATCCTGGGTACACTTGTCATACAATGGTACAATTGTCATATTGATACTGGAGTACACTTGTCATACAGATACTGGAGTACACTTGTCATACAGATACTGGAGTACACTTGTCATACAGATACTGGAGTACACTTGTCATACAGATACTGGAGTACACTTGTCATACAGTGGTACACTTGTCATACAGATCCTGGGGTACACTTGTCATACAATGGTACAATTGTCATATTGATACTGGAGTACACTTGTCATACAGATACTGGAGTACACTTGTCATACAGATACTGGAGTACACTTGTCATACAGTGTTACACTAGTCATACATTGGTACACTTGTCACACAGATACTGGAGTACACTTGTCATACAGTGGTAGAAATATCATATACAGGAATCTACTTTTATATTAAAAAAGCTAGACACATGATTTGACTACCAAGAGTCTCAACTCGTTTTGACTAGATGTTGATATAAAAACCAAAACTAGATTCTGTTGTACCAAGGCTGGAGTACCAATAGCTCTATCTATCCCATTAAAGAGGTGACGCTTTCAACAAGGTGCCAGTCCTGCCACAGGTACTCACCATCATTCTTGCCCATGGCAAACAGCAGACACAAGGCAAACAGAGCAGCGTAGTCATTCTCCGTACACTCCAGGGCGTTGAACACTGACTCCAAGTACGGCCTGTACAGATATATGGTACTGTATTAACAATGTGAGCTCAGAGACACTGAGTGTATCAATACTATCATACAACGTTCACTTGAACACGGCAAATGACTCATCCTCTCATGATAGAAGATAAGTTGTCTTGTCACAGCGTCCTACTGACAGAACAATGAAATGAATGTTGTTTAACTTCAATGTTAAGATGGCCAAGTAGCAATATATGGCAGCGATATCACAACAGTAATGAAATATTTATGCCTTATCCAGGCAAACATATAGCAATTTTTCCAACTCTCGTCCAACATTTCCAATATGGTCAAAATTTCTCCATCAAATGTGGGGAGCTAATCTGTTCATACAGACAGGAAACAGGAACATACTACAGTCATGGAACACTGGGGACCTAATCTGTTCCTACAGTCTACAGTGACGGGACAGACACAAGACAGTACCTGTTCTCAAGTGTGAAGGCTGCCTGTTGCCTCTCGGAGATGCTTGCTGAGACTATCCCCATCCTTTGCACAAGCTTCTCCTCATCTGTGGAGTTCTGGTTCGGGCTAGAGATGTCAGTGTCCCCGGAGTAGATCTCACTGCTGGGGCTCAGAGCTCCCTCTGCATATACAGATCAATATAAAGGGTCACACTTGTCTAGCTTACAGCATTCATGATCATGTTTGTCTGTTTGAATACCACACACAGAAATACAGCAACTATATCATGTATGTCACAGTAGCTGTATATCATCAAGTCTGGTCCGGACAATCCAGTGATCTGTATTCTAAGCAACAATCTATGTCATTAGGCTACAAGATCATGCTATCAACAAGTTTGCACAGGTTGTTGGGTCACAACTTTCTAAATGACATACCCATGACTTGATAAATAATTTACCGTGCAGGACATTCTGTAGTTAAACTGTTCCATACTGTTGTATCACCAACCAGTCAGTTGTATTAATTCTATGTAATGAAAGCTTTATAATAGTGAGATTGTTATTGCTCACAGTGAATTACAATACAGGTGCATATCTTAAAGTTGTATGTCTTGGCAACCTTTGTTCACATATACATATTATTGTGCCCCTGACTTTTTCCATGTGTATATGCATAACCATGGGCTCAGCAAGAGATGTGGCCTGCAATGCTGCTGATGTCACTGTACCTGTGGAGGGTGTAGACACACCATCTGCTACAGCTGCTTCGTCCCGCTGTAGATAGAAGGTAGAGTTCCCCTCAGTTGTAGATGGTCCATGGCTCTCATCGCCTGGTGCCTGGCCGTACCGGATCTTGGGGCGATTGTTCTCCAGAGTCTTCTCCAGGGTTTCTGCAGGAGCTCGGAACTCGCGAATTCTCTGCATGTCGGACATTCGTTTCATTGAATATGTGTTCTCTCTTGTGCAATGTTAGAACAGTGTGTCATGTAACAGTAAACAGACAAATTACCATTCTTATTCCATCATTCTTATGTCTCAATGAACAGAGCAATCCCCTCAGATATCGGTTCAGTATGTCAAAAGAGTGACGTCTCTATGACTCTCAAATAGGCAACAATAGCAAGAAGGTTTTATTTCTTTGTTTTTTAATGCCACCCTCAACAAAACTGAAAGGACATGATGGGGGCTGTAACAATTGGTTATGGGTGATTGATGATGTGAGTAATGTTACCTCCTATTAAAGGTGAGGTGAAATTGGGTTTAATGTCATGCTTGAGAATATTTCGAACATATGACGACGTGCATGAGTGTGTATGTGTATGTGCGGCTGCTTGTACTAGCCCAGATTGAAGCTGGTCTTATAGTGCTAGCCCACCGAGATACCATGCCGCAGTGAAGCATGAATACCCCACTCAGACACATTATACTGACTCCGAGCCGACCAGTCCTTGTTGTACCCATTAATGCCGAGAGCCAGGCCGGGACCAACAAGTACCATATTTTAACGTCTTTTGGTATGACGCGGTCGGGGATCGAACCCGATACCTTCCGCTCTCCGGGCGGACGCTCTAACCACTACACCATGGAGGCGGTCACCTCCTATTAAATGTTCACTAACTTATAGCCTACCAGTTTGGGGGAGTCATGATGGCTGCCAGTGCGAGTGAGACTTATGTCACCCTGGAAGATGACCTCGGCCAGCTGTTGTACCAGGGGTGGTGACTGGATGATGAGAAACACCTACAAAAGCAACAAAAACCTTGATGAAGAGAACCCCATAAATGTTAGATGGGGTTTAGATCTGGGGACCTTGAGGGCCATGCCAGTACTTGGGTGTTGTGGTTATTCAATAAGTCCGCTTTCAGTCTTGCCATGTGTGGTTGGGCATTGTCGTGTTGTAATATGACATTTGTCTGCTGTATAAGGGGAAAGATGTGTGGCTGAAGAATTTTATATGTTGTACCATTAAATTGATCTGGATTTGGACGGAAAAGCAAAATCCTTGACACTAAACCAAACATGTCTCCATCATTGATGTGGCCTTACTCCGAGGCCTTGACATCATTGATGTGGCCATACTCCGAGGCCTTGACACCATTGATGTGGCCTTACTCCGAGGCCTTGACATCATTGATGTGGCCATACTCCGAGGCCTTGACACCATTGATGTGGCCATACTCCGAGGCCTTGACACCATTGATGTGGCCATACTCCGAGGCCTTGACATCATTGATGTGGCCATACTCCGAGGCCTTGATGTGGCCCATTGATGTGACATCATTGATGTGGCCATCTCCGAGGCCTTGACATCATTGATGTGGCCATACTCCGAGGCCTTGACACCATTGATGTGGCCATACACCATTGATGTGGCCATACTCCGAGGCCTTGACACCATTGATGTGGCCATACTCCGAGGCCTTGACACCATTGATGTGGCCATACTCCGAGGCCTTGACACCATTGATGTTGTAGTCAACTAGGCAAAGCAGAAAGAATGATCCCTCAAACTGGTCGTGTCCAGCATATATCTGTGGTGTGTAGACAGTTTCCTTACTGCCTGGGCTGAAACGTTATGAAATCCTGTTATTGTTGTAGCTGTACAGGTGGCTGTCATGAGTCGCAAGTGAGGACTGACTGACTGAGTTTGGTTTTACGCCGCTTTTAGCAATATTCCAGCAATATCACGGCGGGGAACACCAGAAATGGGCTTAACAAATTGTGCCCATGTGGGGAATCGAACCCGGGTCTTCGGCGTGACGAGCCAACGCTTTAACCACTAGGCTACCCCACCGCCCCCGCAAGTGAGGAACCCGTGTGAACCAATCCTGAACTGTGAGATGTGGTTGAATGTATCATGTTAGGTCATGTGTTGACCCATGCTTTTGATACCCGTTCCATAGTTTATAATGGTGCTTGGTGATGCATGCCTGTGTTGTCAGTCGTGGCATGTTTTCACTTTTCACAATTGTGATGACAGACAAATGAAAACCCATCATTTCCACAGCCCAACAATTATTGTTACATGCTGATTTCATGTTGATGTGTTTAGTCACCATGCTACTAAATGGTAAAACACATGTACATACAGGTTCTTACACTTATACGTCCAAAGGTGCCAAACAAAGTTGGGTATTTTCTTAACTGATTCAGGTGCTAGTGATCCGCTGAAACATCTAAGAGACCATCATAGTGACCCAGATTGTGATGGGTTATATCACAACACATGCTACAACTTGAGCAAGGGGTTCACAGTCTTACTTGCAGCTTGTATGGAGGTTTATGATAAAATTCCATGAACACTATCACCATCAACATGCTTCAAATTTTGTTCACTGACTGGTTCATGAAAACATATTCCTGTCATCAGCATATTTAAATCTGCGTTAACTTATTCACATCAAAAGACCAAATAGCTGAGCGATAAGTCAAATCCCAACACTAAAAACTATTTCCTGTATTTCTTATGAAACAAGCACTGTCAAAAATGAAATGCACTCCTCTAAATGTTTTCAATGTCAAATAATAAATGAAAGCTGACATTATATGTTATCAATGGTTTCATTTCAACCTGTAATGTTTCTGGCACATAGAAACTCACCTGAGACAGCAGGAAAAGGGAGACAACTGAGCTGACATGCTTCTTATCCGTCTGAAACACAAGGGGATGATTATCAGTAATAATATAACATACATCTACCATCATATCATTAAACATATCTACAAGGTTAAGGTCATTAGACTAACCCCTGTATTACAGTGTATACGTCAACATGTATGTTCCTATGATGAGGCGGCTACAGTTTCATACCTGTACATCTGCATACTTCTTCCTCTTTGTCAGGGAGTACACGTAGAGTGGGATGAGGAGTCTGTTGAGGAGCTGGTCAGTAAGGACCTCGTTCAGGGCATCTATGTTGATACAGAGGATGTCGTTCAGGTAATGGAGGTGGTCCAGGTGTTCAGCTACCAGGTCCGACAGACGGTCGCGACTACGATGACTGCAGAAAATCAAGCATGTATCTTAAACTGACTGACTGACTGAGTTTGGTTTTACGCCGCTTTTAGCAATATTCCAGCAACATCACGGCGGGGGACACCAGAAATGGGCTTCACACATTGTACCCATGTGGGGATTCAAACCCGGGTCTTCGGGATGGCGAGCCAACGCTTTAACCACTAGGCTACCCCACCGCCCCCCATGTATCTTAGAAGCGTAAACAAAGAGACCCATCAGTTGGATAACTTCAACACATTTATTTAATGAGAAGGAAACATGAAGATGAAATGGCATACTTACTCAGAGTCATTTCTGACACAAAGGTCAAGGTCAAGTATATGTTGACCAATGAACCACACCAAGTTAGAGAAGTACGGGGCAGCTGTCCGGTCTCGTATATAACGCAGCATTGCCTTGTCGTCAACTACAAAGGATAAAGCAAAATCTTAAATATTAGAATAAAGTGGCCTTAGGCTCTTTATAACAACACAATCATCGTGCCATTATTACATTGTGAGAGTAATGGGTTAACCCCTTCAGTCCTACTGCCTGCTTACCTCTGAACACATTGAGCGTGATGGTTCGCACTGCTATCCGGACCATGGTCTCTGAGTGGTTAAAGAACTTTATTGCTTCTGTGTACAAGGCAAAGTCATTTGTGTGCTGAAACAAACAGAGATTACATAAGAACCTGTCAACACACAGGTACACAGCCTGCTAAAGCAAACCGAAGCTGGATGTTACAGAGATTACACACGATACTATGAAAGTTACTGTGGTGTCCCGTGAACTGTTACATCTACTGTACTTTAACACTACATGGATTGGTTTTCACTGAATTATCTTAAAATCTACATAAACAAAATCTGAAAAAGATTTCACTTACTTCGTTGTAGAAGAAGTGTATGGTGTGCCTGTTGAGCTTGAGAGACAGCGTCTTGAGGAAGGAGATGTAGTAGGCCATCACCTGTACAGACATAGGTCAACAATCAGCACTAGGAGACAGGCACAGTGTCCATAACAAGCACCTGCATGCCAGTCTGGGCCTGGTGCAGACAAAGCAGACATCAGATGCTTGATGGGCATTTAGAAGTTGGGAGGTAACACAACAACGTATGGTATGGATTACAACTTCTTTAATATTTACTTTTCATCGCTATATGGCTGTAATATTGCTGATGCGATGTAAAATTTTAACTCACTCACTCACTTTAATATTTACAACACAACGTTTCTGGGCTACTTCTTGCCCCTTCATCATTCACCTGATGAAGAGGCAAGAAGTAGCCCAGAAACGCTTGTGTTGTAAATATTAAAGAAGTTGTTGTAATCCCAGGGCTACAGATAAAGGGCGACAGGCGTAATGTACGCCTCAAAAATCAATTAAGTACGAGATATGCCTCAAAATCAATTAAGTAGACGACATAATATAAGATTTGCGGAACTGCCAGCTGTCTCTTTATGCAGCATAAATACCTTTGTCAAGCGGCGCTTACTCCAACTATTTAATATTCACGTAATCCGTTTATCGGAAGAGATGCAAATGGAAATCTATTTCAGGATAAATACTTGTCAAGTTTCTTTGAAATATAAACACAGATTTGACACATGAGGAAACCCCGACAGTAGGAATCACTTTCGCGAAACGCGATTTGACACATGAGGAAACCCGCGTTGCCATGCAGCGATATCGTCACTATTTTTCGATTGGCTAAAAACTACACTGTTCCTATTTATATCCAGTCTGACCTGACATTTCGCTCATCACACGGTCGCTCAGTTATTTCTCACACATCTTCAAATACAAATATATGGTTGGAAATAGTGATCGATGAATTGTCCAGACAAACCACATCACCAACTCGCTCACACAAAAACATGTCAGTACTCCTTCAAAATTCTCAGTACACCTCCACTTGCAATATGATGTGTAAGTACACTCACACCCCCAAAAGTTATCTGGAGCCCTGAATCCATACTATACGTTGTTGTGAAACCAGTAACATGTTGTAACAATCAAACCAAACCATACACACTGCATCATATCTGTACACCCAGCACTCAAACATCATGGTGGCCTGTGAATGACAAAGTCTCAGTCACACTCTTGTTCATATTGAAAATAAATGAGAACAATTAATTTTTGTTATTTCATAAATATTTACCTCCTCATCAGAGAAGTCAAACTTGTGGACGATGATGGAGTTGATGTGGTTGTTGGACAACAGGTAATCTGGGAGTGAGAGAGGACCATACAGACAACACATCAACACGGGTAGCAATACGTTTACAGTGGAACCCAAACATGTGCGGGTGTGAACATTCTTCCGGCTGATGGACCTCCACTATATAGTCAATGACAGAGGTCTATCTCTCAGTGTGAAGGGTTTCCAGTTTAGACCAGCTTCAAAATCTTAACATGTAAACCTGATGTTCCGAAAAGAGGCAAAGTTTGGCTTAATTCTGTCACCTATAGTGCTCTGAAAAGAATATTCTGTTTACCAAACAGGTTCTTGCATTCACATTACAACTGATTACTAAAATGGTATTAAAATCCAAGAAATTGATGCTCAGAACAATGGATGCCTTGACAAGTCACAGTAATGGCTGATACTGTACGGAGGCAAAATGAGAGATAACAACCATTCCATATTATCACTCATAAAAGTTCTATCAACGTTAACTGGCTATCAGTTCTGACACATGGATACTGAAAATACACCCATCCTTATGAATATCATGAGCATAGTGCAGGAGTAAGATATATAACATCCTGAGACATTGGACCAAACCCGAGTTAACACCACACTGTCACAGAGTTCTCACTCACATAGAGATGTCTCGTTGCTGATGTTCTCAAACAGGATGTTGAGTGTCTGCAGCAGCTGCACACAGATGTAGCGGCCGCCCTTCTGCTGGAGGTAGCGCAGGAAGAAGGACAGCATGTTCTTCTCCAGGAAGAAGCTGAAACACAGAGCACATGCAGGATCTAAACATCCAAGGGCAGGCATGGAGATAGGCACAACCCTTCATACAGGAAATAGCAAAGATTCACAATATATTGTTTTCTGATCGTACAGAAACAAGTCATGACTTTTATATTGTTTACTAAACCAACAAATTAAACACTACTTGAATTGTATATATACAGTACACAAGTATTAGAAGTGACTATTCTGTTCCATCTACAGCCTGGCAGATGAATGATTTTAATTTCTCTGCAACTAATCTATGCCACATTCCCTCTCTGTTATGTGGAAAGGCAGAGAAACTACTTACAACCTCAACATTTTTGCATACAAGTTCATGTTTTACCTTTTTAACACAAACTTTTAACAAAAAGTTATAATTACAAAACAGTATAATTTGTATATGTTAATGTGAAATCATCTTAGAACTTTTCACAGTTGTCACAAGATTGGACTGTGGGTACCGAATACCTGACATGTCGTAAAACGGAATGATGGTGGACTTTAACCATGCAGTAAGAGCACTCGATACACGACAGTTGGACAGTGTCACAAACAAAAAATATAGCAGAAAAGATTGTCAAAACAGATACAAACAAACCATATCTGTCACGTCAAAATGGTTATCCAACCTTTCCTCAGACTATGTCTACCAGAAACAGCTGTCTTTGAGTCTCATATACCTGTATACTATTCAAATAAGGTTACAAAACATGCCATTTCTTATCAAGACAGGTTAGCTATAGTCTCATGAGAACATCAAACATCCTTTAACCTGTTTTGAGTCAAATACTTCAGGTCCACCAACTACACCTCACTTGGGCAAACATGGTTCAGGTGACATTACTGACAACCCAAATGTAACCTAACCCATACAAACAGCACATATCAATACTGGATTTATGTAGTATTCTCAAGTAAGTCTTCTCAAAAGAGGCAAAAAGTCCTTCTGTAAATGTATAAAATCTTTCTTACCTAAAACTTGAAATTTTATCATTGATTTCAATCCATTAGTGTCACACCAAACATCCATGGCAAACTCTTTTATACTTTTATTGATTACTTTTACAGACTTTCTCAAACTACTGTACCCCATGCTGCCTTGTCACATGGCAGAAACTCAACAAATCAACAGACATGCCGTGTGCTGAAGATGATATACCAATGGTGGAGATGTATGTCACCTGTGGTTCAAAGACTGACATAGTAGACCTCGTCGTGCTAGACATTCCTTTGTACAAAGGCTTAATGTAAACTGATGAGGAACATGCATGACAAATGTAACTACTTCCGCATGTAACGGTCATAGTTAGAAGAAATCACAATGACCTGGCAGCAAACACAAAATACTTCAGGCATTTCTGCTGGCAGGATTATAAAAAACAAGTGAATTTAGGGGCGAATATAGGACATTAATCGTGTTAATTTTGAAAGGTGTACATTTTGAAAATCATCTCAACAGTAAAAACTGGTAAAGCATTGAACAAAGAGCTAAATCAGCAATACATACCGCAGGGCAGAAGCTGAATCAGCAATACATACCGCAGGGCAGAAGCTGAATCAGCAATACATACCGCAGGGCAGAAGCTGAATCAGCAAATGCGTGCCGGGGCAGAAGCTGAATGGGGCAGAAGCTGAATCAGCAATACATACCAGAAGCTGAATCAGCAATACATACTGCAGGGCAGAAGCTGAATCAGCAATACATACCACAGGGCAGAAGCTGAATCAGCAATACATACCGCAGGGCAGAAGCTGAATCAGCAATACATACCGCAGGGCAGAAGCTGAATCAGCAATACATACCGCAGGGCAGAAGCTGAATCAGCAATACATACCGCAGGGCAGAAGGAATCAGAAGCACAGGGCAGAAAATCAGCAATACATACATACCATGCAGGGCAGAAGCTGAATCAGCAATACATACAGGGCAGAAGCTGAATCAGCAATACATACCACAGGGCAGAAGCTGAATCAGCAATACATACCGCAGGGCAGAAGCTGAATCAGCTTATTGCATGGATAATAAAAATGATTCAGCAATTACATCTTTTTTCTGACAGGATGTGACAAAATAGGACTTTGGACTTGTGAGAGCAGAGTTTCAACTTATGTAACTGCTGTATTGATTTCTTACTCAAAGACACAGCTGTCATTCTGGTCGCCCCAGATGAGGATCTCGGAGATGGAGCGGAGAGTCTCTATAAGCAGTCCTCGATTGTTGTCTGTGATGGCCTGGTTCTTACACAGCACTGTGTACAGAAACCTGCAAGGAGACAAAGCGCAGAATGTTACACTAGATATCACACATAATGAACTATCAACTATTGACAAAAAGCAATCAACTAAAAAATATTCTAAACACTGTCCGGTTTGTGACTGATCTGGAATCAGATCTCTAACTCACTTTAGTATTTGGGTATGTTGCAAAGCAGTCTGACATTGTGGTGTTGATGTGTGGTACATTGATGTGTAGTATGTTGCTGTGTGAAGTGCTGCTGAGTGGTGCGGCTCAGTGTGTGTGTTGGTGTGGCTCTGTGTATGTTGGCATGGCATTGTGAGTGTGTGTATGTTGGTGTGGCTATGTGTGTGCTGGTGTGGCTGAGTGTGTGTATGTTGGTACGGCCATGTGTGTGTGTTGGTGTTGCCATGTGTGTGTATCTTGGTGTGGCTGTTTGTGTTGGTGTGGCTCTCTGTGTGTGTGTGTGTGTGTGTGGCTCTGTGTTGGTGTGGCCTGTCTGTGTTGGTGTGGCTCTGTGTGTGTTGGTGTGGTGTGTGTGTGTGTGTGTGTGATGTGTGTGTGTGGATGTGTGTGTGTGTGTGGCTCTGTCTGTGTTGTGTGTGGCTGTGTGTGTGTGTGTGGTGTGTGTGTGTGTGTGTGTGTGTGTGTGTGTGTGTGGTGTGTGTGTGTGTGTGTTGGTGTGGCTGTGTGTGTGTGTGGTGTGTGTGTGTGTGTGTGTGTGTGTGTGTGTGTGTGTGTGTGTGTGTGTGTGTGTGTGTGTGTGTGTGTGTGTGGCTGTGTGTGTGTGTGTGTGTGTGTGTGTGTGTGTGTGTGTGTGTGTGTGTGTGTGTGTGTGTGTGTGTGACTGTGTGTGTGCCTGTGTGTGTGTGTGGCTGTGTGTGTGTGTGTGTGTGTGTGTGTGTGTGTGTGTGTGTGTGTGTGTGTGTGTGTTGTGTGGTGTGTGTGTGTTGTGTGGATGTGTGTGTATGTTGGTGTGTGTGTGTGTTGGTGTGGCTCTGTCTGTGTGTGTGGCTGTGTGTAGCTGGCTGTGTGTATGTGGTGGATGTGTGTGTGGCTGTGTGTATTGGTGTGGCTGTGTGTATGTGTGTGGCTCTGTGTGTGTTTGTGTGTGTGTAGCTGATGAGTGTTGGTGTGGATGTATGTGGCTGGCTGTGTGTGTGGCTGTGTGTGTGTGTGGTCTGTGTATGCTGTGTAGCTCTGTGTGTGTTGGTGTGGCTGTGTGTGTAGCTCTGTGTGTTGGTGTGGCTGTGTGTATGTGTAGCTCTGTGTGTATGTTGGTGTGACTGAGTGTTGGTGTGGCTCTGTGTGTGTCGGTGTGGCTCTGTGTGTTTGTGTGGCTGTGTGTGTAGCTCTGTGTATGTTGGTGTGGCTATGGGTGTGTTGGTGTGGCACTGTGTTTTGTTACGGTTGTGTGTGTGTGTGTGTGTGTGTGTGTGTGTGTGTGTGTGTGTGTGTGTGTGGCTGTGTGTGTGTTGGTGTGTTGTATTCTCTGTGCTCATGTTGTTTTCATCATGTTCATAGTTCTAACCCTCTGAGATACCATGCTGCAGTTTGACATGCACATCATGTTGAATATATGACCTTCAGATTTCCAGGCAGAATAAATCAATGCATATCAGTTACATTATACAACCTTGTTGGTCAGGGATGTTAATTCAGCTGCCCAGATCCATACATCACAATGAGAAAATTAAACACAAATGATTTGCATTTGTTCCTTTTTAGGCAACCAACCTATTTTCATAAATACAAAAACAGCATGATGCATCTACTAACATTTAAATAAGAACATCTCATAATTTTGTCCATGTCCAGTTGAACAAGCTCAGAAAATTCATACCAGACAAGCAAAGTTCGCATCACAACAGTTTAGTAAGGTCCTGTTCATGACTCACTTTCTGGCTTTTGAATATGTTGAGGTATACTAACTAGTTAGCTGGTAGAATGACTGCCACATGATATATGTACCCTTTCAGTCCACAGTCTCAAGCAAATGTTGGTATGAAATTAAATATCCAAATTCAGGTCACAATAAATCTCTTCTTACATAAGTATATATTATAACTTGGAATAAGTGACATATTTTAATAATATGTACCTTGGAACATGCTGAATGTACCGGTAATGATTTTTCAACATCACTAAAGTTCCCAATTTGGGATTAAAAATAATGCATTCAAAATTTTCCCACCACAGCATTCTGACTATAATCTTAAATAACAGGACAAAACATTTGATGAAACATACCAGCTGCCATTACTTCAAATGAAATGTCTGCAAACAGTGTTAAGATAAGGGCCCTATGTTTTAAGGCTCATTGCCACCACATTTGACCAGAACCACTAATACTTTAAATTTTAACGTGTTTAACATTATCATTGTCAAAGATCTTTGACTTCAGTCTCAAATTCAAACAGTATTACACATGCTAATGTCATTTTATAGGAATATTCTACCAAATTAAGCAAAATGTATGGTGACAGTGATGTGTCCTTGTTTGAACATAATTGATTAACGTCCATGGCCTCTGTGCATTGAGACACTTGAGATATGGGAAACCCATAATCAGGATCCAAGTTATCACACTTCCCACAGGTTAGGGTATCATTAGGCCCGGAATCCAGTGTTACATGATATTCAGCCAGCATCCAGGCAAAGTCCTTACATGACATCCTATCCCTGCCCTCATGCAGTAATGTCTGCTTCAAGTATCAGGTCAACTTGGTCAAGTGTACAGATCCTGTGACCTACATTCCAACTTACAGTCCCTACACACTACACAGAACATGTAGGATGTGGGATATCAGTGAGTTTGCATGGGATACTTTGGATCTGGATATTTAATCAATTTTTATAGGTTATAACTTATTATGAAAAACTCTTCTGGATATTTAGGATGACAATCCTGTCCAAAACATTAGACAAACTGAAAACCTGGAACTTGTACACATGTATGCCTGAACATTACTACTTTCCTACCCACTGGTGTCACATGGAACAGGACCTGTGAAGATTCAGGATAGAATTGATCTTCAGTAACCCATGCTTGTCGTAAGAGGCGAGTAACGGGATCAGGTGGTCAGGTTTGCTGACTGGTAAACACATGTCATTGTATGCTAATTGCATAGATCGATGATCATGATTGATGTTGATCACTGGATTATCTGGTCCAGACTTGATTTATTTTAACAACCAACCAACCACATGGTATAGGTAAAACCTGTACTTTTGCCATGAGCCACACAATCCCATTTAATTACTCTAATTAAGAGGAGCTGTTTCACTACCATTTACGGGGATCAATACTCTAAAGATACTTAAGATAACAATGAATGATGCACAGTTATCGATACTAATTACTGGCAGAGTTTTGGACTGAGACTAATAATGTGCTAATGAGTTGCTCATATGTTTGCTAGCAAATCCTTCTGTGTCATTACCACACAGTTTAGATGACAGTCAGACAATGTACTGGAAAATGAACTGATCAGCAACATGTATGAAATACACAAGAGTAAGCTTGGTCAGGTTAAAGTGCAAGCTGTGCAACTGAACGCTGAACGCTGACCTAATTAATTAATCATTCAGCGGGTGTCAGATGTCTAAACTCTCAAATTAGCATTGTATAAGAAATTAGGATGTTGTCAGTAAGGGTGTGTATGATGATGAAATAATATGTCATACTACATCGACATTAACTGACACATTTCCATGTCTTTCAGGAAGCCATGCATGGTTAACAGCAAAACATTAACTGATACAGTTAACATGCACAAAAACTTGTAAATGTATTAACAGTAAATACAACACATGGAAAGGTATTTTTTGCTAAGAGTTCCAGTTGTACCTTTAACTAAAAACCTCCATAAACTGTACGCATTATCATTGTGATTGCCAAATAGTTTCTCTCACTCCCCGATGACACTCTTACAGTGTAACTAGCTTCAGTTTTCTTACTTCTTGTTTTCTATGTACATTTGTGCCCAAAACATTTGTGCCGAACTATTGGCCCAAATACATAGGTGTATGTTTACAGTGTGGTAACTGGTATCTGATATGCTGGGACATTGTAATAACACTCAGCGTATGCTCTCACTCACGGAACACTTGCCATATGCTATGTGACAACCCAGTACATTTTACAACATGACAGATTGCAGAGATTCTCCATAATTTTTACAACTGGCTATTGGTACAGATCATGGAGATGGGTAATTGTTAACTAAAATTCCATTGATTATCGACAAATATTGGACTAGTAAAATTGAGCAAAAATGAAAAAAAGGTCCAAGCAAATCCAGATATTTTTAAGTCACTGGTCATTGGCAACACATTTATGCATGGATTACTGACCAAAAAACAGCATAGTTTAGAATAGCCGAGAGCCGATGAGGACCGCATCGCGGCTCTCGGCTAGGTTTAGAAGTGACTAATGATTAAAGAAAAAACTTTATATATTGACACTTTACATTTAAACTCCATTCTACCATTTTTTTAAAATGTAAGATATAATCGATGACACAATGTTCATGTGCATAATACACAATTCTTTCCACTGACAATATTACCCATAATATGTATCAAATTCCTGTTGTCTGTAAACACAAATAGATTTAAAACGCTAACAGATCGTCACGACTACCAAACAATACAAAACACAAGAGGGCAAAACAACAACAGACATTGCCTATATTGACTGGAAAAAGTAGATAGGGTATAACATTAACAAAGGTAACAAAAAAGAAAAACGCCAAATTATAAATAACTCTTCGGCTGTACACACAAGTCGGCCTGAAAAAACCCCACTAAGACAGCAACGAGCACCTGTTGGGTGTTCGTACTGTATAGTGTGAATATTGACATTTTTCAGTCGGTGACAGGAAAAGCAAAGCCACTCACTTGAGATGATCTAAAGAATGAAGATTTTTCGGTTTCCAAATGGCCTGTGTCAGCCAGCTCTTCGGTTTGTTAAACATTCTGAAAAATTGAGGTCGATTTCCAAGTAATTCAACAACAAACAAGTTCAAAATTTTGTAGGCGCTGATAAATGTTCAACATCTTGTGACGACGATGTTTTCCAAGTGATGTCGCCATCTTGGATACAGGCGCCCTCTGCGTAATTAGAGTTACTCCCCTTTGACCGCAATTCATTATTTACTGTTGTAATACGTAACAGTAAAAGCGTCCTTCAGGGAGGAAGTTGTAACAGCCACATGATTTATGGTAGTTGGTTAATAAAACAATAATAACCATCTTTATTGTCTATATAAGGAGGTCCCTTTGTGTATATGACTGGTTTATTATCTATATTGTATTGTTAGATCTGTGCCATTTGCCCTCGTGGTGTGCAATGCATAATGGGCTTTTGGGGGAGAGTTGAAAAGACGAAAGTTGGTTGGTTTAGAAAAGTTTGAGATGTTATAAAACTACCTTTCCAGCCAGTTTCCTTATGTCTCTGGCATTTTGTGGCCTTGTTGCAAACTCCCAGACAAAAGGAAGTAGCCTATACAATTTGATATGAAACAAAAACTGATAAACGTTATCAAAACCTGATTAGGGTTAAAAGTCAGCAAGACACTGTAAACTAAGGTTTAAAACACAACTATGTGACCCGTGTCAAAGACATTACCATCGAACCGGTTTTGTTGGGGTTTTTCCTGTTTCATATATGTTTAGTCGCTATCAGGCATGTGTGAGTGAGTTAGGTTTTACGCCGCACTCAACAATATTCCAGCTATATGGCGGCGGTTTGTAAATAAGCGAGTCTGGATCAGGCACCCCAGCGATCAACAGCATGAGCATCTCTCTACGTAATTGTGACACGATGACATGTGTCAACCAAGTCAGCGAGTCTGACCATCTGATCCCATTAGTCGACTTTTACGACAAGCATGGGTTACTGATCATGAAGATCAATTCTAACCCGGATCTTCACGGGTCTATCAGCCATGGGTGTATACTTTCTTCTGTCCAGGATTACATATTAACAAACAACATTATATTTGGTTAAGCGATTGACCAGCTAGTTTTCAGCAAGTTCATTTCAAACAAGATGGATATTTCGAATCTTGTCTGTCTGTATCCCCTTTTCACCCACACCACTCACATGTAAACTATCACTATAGATTTGTGAATATGCCATACTTTACTACAAGGAACATGTATATTCTGTATTTGCTTTTATACAATATATATTTCGGAAAAAAATTATTTTGGCAACAGACATATAACAAAATATTATGAAAGACTTCTACCTTACAAAATAACAAATATACACATGACAGTAAAGCAGTCTTGAAGATTAGAAAATAAAATCCATGTTCTGTAATTGAAGACATTATTATCATTAAAATATATTAAATTAGCCTAGCAACATCTTTTTGTGAGGGCAATGTAGTTATGTACAGAATCAATCAATTTAACATCAATATGATCTTGTAGATTAGTATATCTCCAAACAAGACGCAGTTGACGTAAACATAACATGTTGATCTAATATCGCAATAACTTTAGCATTTGAATAATTATATAACATAGACTGTCTTCGTGTGTGTGACAACTTAACTGTGTGTAGGATAATCATTGAGGAATCTGCGTGTGTTTAAACAGCTACAACCTAGGATTAATGTACAGGGAATAATTTGATTAAATCTGTTACCAAATGGTATAAATTATCTATGATCATTACATAAGAGAAACAATCCGCGATTTTCTAAATTCTGTGAAAGATTCAGTACAACGGTATTTATTATCCAAACTATTCCAGTACAAATAGCAGAATGCAACAATTATTTTTATTCAGTGCGGGAAAGAAAGAGTATTCTGGAGTGTGTCGGATTTTATCTAGTATCATGTGAGGAAGATGTAGATACATTCAGTGACGTTCGATCTGATAGGTGTGTTGGCATGTTTATAGAAAAACAATTTCTGGAAAACACCCATTTTGCAATTTCTGAGACGATTACTTCAGGTGCATAACCAGTGTCATCGTGTCATACTAAATGACTGACGCCTCTGACGGAGGCCAGGTGTAAACTTTTCAAACGTTCTTGCTCTGTTATACCAAATATGATCACATGTTGTAGACAGGGGGGGTATAGACCTAAAATGACGTCATCATCGAACAATCACAATATTCATATGTAGGTAAGATGAAAGAGTTATGCACTATTTGAAGGCTATCTCTTCGCAGGCGATACTATACATTTCATAAACAATTAATCTTTGGGCTTAGAAACAACATCGTGATTTATCTCTGACAATCACTCTGGAGAGTTACCCCAAGATACCCTTTTTGACGTTATTTTGATAATTCAGTAAAGAAACAGGAAAGAGAAATTCAGAATTTCGTTTTCTAGAAAGAAAAAAATGATTCGGTTTTACTTTAAAGATAAAAATGGTTCGGTTTTACTTCTAAAGATAATCGAAGAGTGTCCGGAAATGATTTAATATCGTTTGTTAGTCTTAATTTAGATGCATATTCTATGATGTGGGATCGTCGATAATAACACGAAGACGTGTCGTCCGGACATGATTTAATATTAAACTGGAAATCATCCATAAATACAAATAAGGATTATGCGGTCAAGCTAACGCATGTCATATTTATGTACGGTCACGTCATGTGCCATGTTTAGTAACGCTAACATGTCATATTTATGTACAGTCACGCTAACATGTGCCATGTTTATGTACGGTCACAGTAACATGTGTGATGTTTATATATAACATGTGCCATGTTTATGGTCACGCTAATGTGCCATGTGTGTGCCATGTTTATGTATATAACATGTGCCATGGTCGGTCACCTAACATGTGTCATGTGCCAGTTTTAACGTACATGTGCCATGTTTATATTCGATGTGTCAAGTTAACGTACAGCTATATTCGATGTGTCATTTGTATGTACAGCGACACTTACACGTGTTATGTTCATGTACGGCTACATTAAATGTGTCATTTTTATGTTCGGCGACACGTACATGTATCATGTTTAAGCACGGGCATACATAAGTGTGTTAAGTTCATGCACGACCGGCTCTCAAGCGTGCCATGGCCATGTTCGACCATCCTTCGCTGGTGCCATGTTTACTCATTGTCAACGTTGAGGGTGTCCGAGACTCTTTCAGTAAAGGCATCAGTTTGGCTTTTCAGGAACGGTTTCAGTGATGACACGTGAGGGCCATTTTCCCGTTGATATACGTTGTGTTGGGCGACAAAACGTTAGTACCACAAGTTAATGATGCTCAAGTGAACAGTGAATGATACACGTGTCATCAGTCAGTGATGTACGTTTGACCAATTAATACTGCACGTGTCAACAGTCAGTGATGTACGTTTCACCAATTAATACTACACGTGTCATCAGTCCGTGATGTAGGTTTCACCAATTAATACTGCACGTGTCATCAGTCCGTGATGTAGGTTTCACTAATTAATACTGCACGTGTCATCAGTCCGTGATGTACGATTCACCAATAAATACTACACGTGTCATCAGTCCGTGATGTAGGTTTCACCAATTAATACTGCACGTGTCATCAGTGATATGCGTTTCACCAATAAATACACGTGTCATCAGTGATATGCGTTTCATCCAATTCACCAATACTACACGTGTCATCAGTCCGTGATGTAGGTTTCGCCAATTAATACTGCAAATGTCATCCGTGATGTAGGTTTCACCAATTAATACTGCACGTGTCATCAGTCCGTGATGTACGATTCACCAATAAATACTACACGTGTCATCAGTCCGTGATGTGATGGTTTCACCAATTAATACTACTGTCATCAGTCAGTGATGTCATCAGTCCGTGATGTAGGTTTCACACCAATTGAATACTCACAGTCCGTGATGTAGGTTTCACCAATTGATACTGCACGTGTCATCAGTCAGTGATGTACGTTTCACCAATTAATACTACAGTCAGTGATGTACGTTTCATCAAGTGTTGAGTGATAGACGATTCATCAATAAAAACTGCACGTGTCATCAGTCAGTGATACACCAACACAAACAAATACATACAAACACACAGACTCACAGACACACAGACACACAACACACACACACACACACACACACACACACACACACACACACACACACACACACACACACACACACACACACACACACACACACACACACACACACACACACACTAACCGTACAATAATCTTGAACGTGACTACACCCCACTTCCCAACGACACCCGCTGTGGTGATGCTGCTGGATGTCCTTCTTCCTGCCTGATTCTTGACACGTTCCACTAAATGATCATCAACCAGATAAATACACTCAATTCGCAGAACACGATCAAAACCGGCCGACGGACAACCGCCAAATTAATCAGCCCCGAAAAGTGATTAACATATATATATGGAATAACTACAACAAGGGTGGAACTTGATGTTCTGGTAAAAATAGCACGTGACTGTAATAACAAAACAGTTCTGAGACTCCGCGATTTGCTGGCGGTTTCTTCAGTTCGAGTTGTGAAACTTCGGTATATGATGTGTGGTATGACCACATGCGGCCTCATGCTATCTGCATGACATCTGACATGTCTATATGACAGCTGGTATATCAACATAACGCATAGCGTGTCAACATGACGCTTGGTATGTCGCCATGACGCCAGGCGTGTCATTGGCCAATGATATCTTCTCAAATCTTTAGACGATAATGGAAGACATAACTGGGTGTCGGAGGTCAGATTTCTGCTCCTTTAATTTCAACAGGTTTCGCATGGAGTTGTTATCCAGGTTGGTGAGGAGAAGCTATTTATCAGCACTTTCAAACAGGTTACAGGATATGTTTATCCAGGACTGGCATTTATCTATTTCTACCTCAAGTTATCTGCTATTATACTCTAGATTTAAAACTGAATTTAACACAGAAACATATATTACCTGCCTCCAAGACAAGTCTTTGGTACGTGCATTCTGTAAATTCAGAATAGCACTGAACAATCTGAAGGTAAATGCATACAGGAAGGAGAAACAACAGTACGACTATAACCATGATAACATCTGCTGAAGTTCACATACTATTTTCCTGTCCAAAATATTCTTCATCAAACTTATTTCTTCAC